ATTCGGCTTCAGTTCACCACCATTTAGGGTTATTTACTAAACTGAGAATTGTTTGGAATTCACATTGAATTTGAAATTACAGATCAAACTACAAGCATAGCCGACATATTTTTTTGTGTGCTAATTTTGGCTGTGATAGAGCAAAGTTAGAGCATTTTTCAAATTCAGTTACTTTAACTTCACATTTTAAATCCACTTTGAATCCCTGAAATTCTCACTTTGGTATATAAGCCTGTTGGTGTTTTTAGTAAAGAAACCATTTTAGTTTTTTTGTTTTCTAGGGACGGCAACTTTCTCGTAGCTCCATTTGTTAAATCTTCTAGAACTTTGTGTCACAGATGTTCATTAGAAAAGGAAGGTGCTAAATATGTCTCAGTGGACAAACTACTTTCAAAATGACTTATATTAGATTCTGTATCTTCTCTATGTTAAATTATTTGTTTTATCCCCTTTGATCTTTTACCAGCGTGCTAAATGCTGTCACCTTCTCCCTCCCTGTCTCCCCCTTTTCTTGTTGATCTGTGTGTTATGTAAAATAGCTTATATGCGGCCTTTGCAAATGAAGAACACTAGCACCCAGGGGTCCTTTCAAGTTACATGTGGCCTACCCTGACAGTACGCACCCAGCATGCTGCCGGAGAATCTGTCCCTTCATCGGTGGGGAATACTGTTTACTCAGCATCATAGCAGGGTGTTCAGCCTCCGTTAATCATCTGTGCCCATTTCAGCCCCAGGGAATTCTCTCTGAAGGGCTTTCCCAGCAGGGGGTAAATATGTTGCCAGAGGCAAAATAAATCCACTACCTCATTCAATCCACCATCAATGGCTGCAGGTATCTACATGGGTCCTAACACACAGCATTTGTTCTATAGCTCCCTCCCCTTAATAGGAAGTTAGGAGGCTAATAAAGAATTCTTTAAAAGCAATCAGTTTAATTAAAGGTTTCGTGGAAGCTCTTGGCATTTCTCAATGGTTGTTTCATGAACTCTGCTAATTTGCACTAGAGGTATAATATGGCCATTAACGCAATGTTCATAAAATGTTACTTTTTCTTTCGTTTACTGCAGGTGATATGCAATTAAAAAGGGAAAAAAGGAGAAAGCTAAAGAGAGAAAGGAAAAGTAATTTAGCACAAATTGTCAATCAAGAGATAGAAATCTATATGGTGACACAATATATACAAGTCATCTATCATAGAGTATTGAGTCTAAAAACAAAACACAAACACACACACACACTACATGTTTAGTCGTGTACACACATATTCATACCCACACACACATAGCTCAGTGACAAACAACGGTCAAATAAAATAACGCAAATCATATAATTTAGGTAAACTGTGAATTATGAGAAAATAATGCCATTGTTTGATTCTACAGACATCATAATATTCATTCATTTTACCAGTAGCCCAAGATGGCATTATTTTCTCTGGATAAACCACTTCTTTGTTATGAATATTTTACATTACGTTGTTTAGTCTTAAGAATACTGTTGGTGTTAGTGTTAGCTTAGTGTCAGCATTAATCTTTAGATTGTAAGCTCACAGGCTCACTAGCTTAGCACTTTGTATAAAAGAGCTTCAATGGCTAGATATCAGCTTACGGGAAGGGCCCTCTCTACCATTTGTATTTGTCTGTGTATATTGTACGTCCTCCACTTATTGTACAGCGCTGTGGAATCTGTTGGCGCTTTATAAATACCATAAATAAATAAATGTAAGTGTTAGTTTTATAGTTATGTAGCGTTCTGGCATGCAATTAGTGGGATTTTTAAACAAATATAATGGTAATGGTAAGCAAATAGCTTAGAATTGCTTTTTTTACAAGACCGGCCATAACGCAAGAATGAAAGAGAAAAGCGACTTCTAGTATTTTTCACATTAACACATTTTTGGGAAGAACATCAGAAAGTTTGAAAGTATGAACAAACAGACAAGCACATTGCTACACTGGAGACGTGCAAAAAATAGTGGAAAATTACAAGGAATATTCTAAATTGTGTTTCACGTACAATGTATCGCATTTCATACTTCTGGGATCGTTGTGATTTCCTGTTTGGCACTTACATGGAATGTTGTTGAATTGAACATTTAGAACTTTATCCATCTTGTTCAAGCTCCTTCTTCGCTATTCAGTGTCCTCAGGATCTGCCTGAACACAAACTCAATGCCCAGTGCATGGCCGCCAATTACAACTTCTTAATTAACTCTAATCTTAAGCCAAATCCAGCAACTCAACATGGAGTGCCCAAATCCCACCATCACACCTTCTATTCTATGTGTATTGGCCCCAGCTTGGAACAACCTGTTTTTAAGAACCAGCACAATCAGTTTTTAGCAAAGAGCCACTTAACACCACATTGTACAGAGCCTGGTTCTTTTATTATATGTCTCCCCTGCAGTTTAGTTTAAGAAACTTTATTTCTTTCTCTTGTGTCATCAGACCAAGCGTCATAATAGGAGAAGCCATTGTTCCAGGCTCCACTAGACCCAGCTCCTGGGGTCTGAAGTGTAAAACATTGGTTTGTCTGATAACATTCTAACTATAGGAGCTAAGCAGGGGTCTTGGGTCAATATTGGTTTTGGAAACAGATGGAGAAATGTTGAAATGAAGAATTCCACTGGTTTCCACTGTGTTGTTTGTTTCAGTGCTGGTTTATTAGTGTAAATAGTCCATTGTCTTACAGCAAAGTAGCTGGCAGGAGGCGAAAAGACAAAACCTTGTTACAGAGATTAAAGCCTGCCCCACAAATGAGGAAGGGGGCTGTGGGTGAAGAGAAACACAGGATTCTAAGAGATGAATTAAAAAAAAAAGGAAAATAATAAAAGTGATGTAAGAAACCCCTTACAGATTGGAAAGTCTATATATTGGATGGTTCTATTGCGGTCGTAAATGAAGAGAAATTACATGAGAAAAACAATCGCTTTATGTAGGGTCATTTGTAGGTTTAGTGATTGAACGGGGTGGCAATTCAAAAGGTTAAGAGCATCAATGCAGATACAGCATCCTATTCCTATTAGTTCTACAATGATGGTTAAAATAAAGCCCAAATATCAGGAAATGTGCTAGGTTTTCAGTATTAAAGACAGTCACAACTCTCTGTCAAAAATATGCGTGTGTGTTTGTGTCAGTGTGCATGTGTGTATGTGTCTGTCCAGAAGCTTGAATTGTTCACCAATTACCTCCTCAGTCACTCAAATTCTTGTTATATCTCCCTAGCCATTACCTTTGAATTTATCTGCTCTCCAGTCACAGATTCCTATTATAACTTTTACATTATAAGCTCATGCGGTATCTGTTTTTGTTTTAAAGTACTGTTATTGCTAGGTGTCCGCTCACTGGCAAGTCCTATTTTCCCTTTTGTACTGACCGATGTAAAGGAAACACAGATTAAGGAACAGTGCTCACTTAAGAAAAATACAGTTTTTACATTTTACACTACTCCTTAAAATCAACAATCTCAGCACCGTACCAAGGCCACCATCACATCACAGCACCCCAGCATTGGTGGGTTCCACACCAAGTTCTGCATAGGAGACCAACATGCCAACTGCAACACTCCCGGTTCAAACTGCGCCACAGAGACCCTCCTCAATGATACGTGTCTTTGGTTACAGTATTTATCTATAACGAGTGCTTCAATGTCGGTTAGTTTTTATTGTATGCGAGATTCATTACTTAGACTCTTCCAGTTTTGGAACTTATCACTGGCCTCCTATTGCAAGTAACAGTATGTAATGCACCCACAATAGGTGGCCAGTGATAGGCTGAGAGAATTAGCTGACAATCGCTGGCACACACTGCTTCCCTTCTTGCTCTCCCATGGAGGGCAAAGCAGAGAAGGCAGGGGATGAGTTTAGGTTTAAGACAGCAGCAATGGATGCTAGCTCTAAAAATAACCTAATTAAGGGGGGGGGTGGAGCTAGCAAGCAACCCAGGCAGACGTGCGAGCACTGAATCCGGGACAAATCCACTTACAAAGGACAAAATCGGCAGTTCAGTAAAGCCCAATCACTACCAACCAGTGGCGGATCCGGGGGGTGGGGGCCAATGGGGCAATTGCCCCCCCAAGATTCTTCCCTGCCGACTAATGCAGGGCTGGCATTGTCCAAGTGCCAGCCCTGCAATGTGCTGATCTCCCTCCCCGGTCCGCAGGCACTGTGCTGGCAACCGACAGGGGAGGGAGGGAGAGAGGACCCGGAAACTCTTACCTGCAGCTCCTCCGGATCCTACTCTCACGAGCACGGAGCGTTGCCGCGGTTACCACGGCAATGTTCCAGATCTTGCGAGAGTGAACTCTAGCCCTGGAGTGCGGGCTAGAGTTCAGTGTAACCACTGGGACCACCAGGGATTCCCCACCGGACCACCATAGATTGAGAAATGTCCCCCCTCCTCCCAGTAAAGGTAAGAAGGGAGGGGGGACATAAAGTATATTTATTTTATTAAATAAAAAAAATATATTAAAAAGCCTCCCTACCCTCACTAGGATGGGATCCTGGCACTGAGGGCGCCATAACTACTACACTGAGCTGTAGTGGTTATTTTGCCTGGATTATTTCTTTAAATAATCTACAAGTGCCCCTCCCGAGATCAGGCTCTGGATCCGCCACTGCTACCAACGCTGGTCGGAACACAATGGGACGCAAATCCAAGCAGCTCTATAACGAGGCGATGCCAACCTCTCATAATATCGGCGATTTACTCCGAGCAACGTCGTGGCCGCGGCCTGCCAAGATGGCACACGCGCGGGAAGCCTCTGCACACTCCTTAGATGACAGTATGGAGGAGGCCACTGAAGCAACGACAAAGAGAAGGAGCACTAGAAGGGAGAGTACTCCACCTCCTGAACAAATGCCGGCAAGCAAAGCAGACATCATCCATCTGCTCAAGGAGCTTAAAGCTCAATCTGCAGCAGTCATGGTCCCAATCAGGGAAGATCTGGGCGCCATGACAGCCCACTGCTAAACAGCAAAAATTGAAACCCTGCAAAGGGAAATGGCCCAAATGAAGCAGACCAGCACTATATTGGAAAATAAAGTGGCGGCACTGGAAGATGCTAAATGTCAGCGAAACCTCAGGATAAGAGGGATACCAGAGGCTGTGCAAGACCCTGAGGTCTCACACTACATACGCAGAATACTAGCCTCCCTGCTACTACCAGCTAAAGCAAAATCCATCTTGCTGGGGTTTCATTTTCACATACCTAAACCACCAAGAGCCCCAGCTGACATCTCACGGGACCTACTTATCCGCTTTCAATCGCTCCGGGGCAAGCTACTAGTACAAGAAGCTGCCCAAGAAACTAACACATATGAGTTCGAAGGTTCTGAGCTATCCTTCTATAATGACCTCTCCAGGACGACAGTCACATGGCGACACTCCATGAAAGAAGTTACCCAACTACGGAGAACCAAGGGGATACAATACAGATGGGGACCAGGGCGCAGGCTCTCTGTCAGCAATGAAGGCAAAAGGGTACACATCACCCAAGCAAGTGACTTTGTAGCATTTCTGCAAAGCCTTGGGAATATCCCAGGAGGCGACTACAAGCACTACCTCCGCAGCAATGACACCAGCGACCACATCCAGGATATGGGACGTCAAGAGAATTCAACCCATTTTCCCAAGAACGAGCGGTGCTGCAGGCACTTCTCAGCCGAAAACCTGAATACCGCAAGTACATTATAACTTGGACTGCATGTCACAGGTGTATACCCCTTAGGCTATCATCCTCAGATATTGCTCTATGTCCGATACCACTCATACAATCTTGGCCCACTGCCAAACAGACCACCCATGAACCACATTGCCATGTACCTCCCAGTTTGCTCATACCCTCCCAAAAGGAAGCTACCTCCAACAAGCAAATGTTAATTTTTCCTACTAATACCATGCAACCACGAGCTAGAAATCTTATCTATAACTACTTGTACATCATTGTACCTATGCTTTAACTAGATTGTTATGTTTACCGTTACCTGTGACAATGTATGCAAAGATTGCATTTAAAATGTAACAAAACTATGAGAGATGATAAATGTACAAAATGCTATGCTACAATAAAATAATAAAAAATAAAAAAACGCATTAAGATTAAGTTTGTTTTAGGGGTGGAGTGTTCCTTTAAAAATGCCTATAACAAAATTTAGGAAGACATTTTTCTACCAGAAGGTTATATTGTGGTACGCCTTTTACTATGTAAAATTAAAGAATACAAAGGACATAGCACTCATTAATGGAGGACCCAGAGTGGCAAACGTTGTTGTACTAAAGCAGCAGACAAAGTGAATCCAGCACACGCGTAGTCCCAGAAATACAGGTTTATTGGAAAAACACAAGGTTGGGGAGAATTGGGTCAAGAGTTTGGCCACCAGGAGAGCTCCACCTGTGAATTTGGGACACAGGGAGCCCTGAGACCTTCCCTAAAGTCTTGGCTTTAGATCACGGGTAAAAAACATATATTGATGCTTTTGTATTGATGCTTTTGACGACTGCCAGGAATTTTATTCTGACAAACTAGTATAAACTAAATAAACTATCTATATAAACTCTCTACCTGCATTCATACATAGAAATGAAAACATACGTACTCAAGTTAAGAGGTCTTTCCTTAGCTATGTTATCGAAGATTCTACCAGCATTTATAGCTATAAAACCATGTCTCATAGTGGTTGTCTTTCACAAAAGAGAGGCTGTCAACAGGTTACATAACACACTCCATACCAAACGCTAGAAAAGTCTTACATTTCCACATTTCTATTCCATTCTATATATTTATTTCGATGTATTGTTGCACTGAAGTAAGGCAATGATAAACAAGAAGGAGATGCCAAAATTAAGCCTTAACCCCTTAAAGACCAAACTTCTGGAATAAAAGGGAATCGTGACATGTCACACATGTCATGTGTCCTTAAGGGGTTAAAGCAATTGATTCTGGTCTTGACTGCCCACTCAGCTAATGAAAGTAACTTGCTTTTCATGATTTGCCCATTTTCCTCCTCATTCCCCTTTTTTCTCTGTGTGAAGTTGGAGGAGTGGATATGGAGGAAGTTGTAAATGTGGAGTTGCTGGAGGCTGCGAAGGCTGAATGCTTAAGTGGCTGAATATTCTATTGCACACAATAACTGGCTGATTAATCTGCAAATCAGTCCTATTATCCCAGGGTCATGGCAATTTAGGACATCAATGCACCTGTCCTGTATGATCTGGTGGCTTGCTTCCAAGTGAATGTCACCACATGCCTATCTTCAGCAGCGGCAAGCTCTAAAGGCTGATTATCATTTCTTTCTTTTTTTTTTTTTTACCTAAATATCGTGTTCTAAGTCCTGCTTAAAAAAAGTTTGTTTTTAATGTAATCAGTAATAAATCTTTTTTGTCCTTCTTAATTTTTATGGTCCCTTTCAGATTGCTGTCGCCCCTCTCTCTACCAGTTTTGTTCTTGGCATTATCTCTACCTTTGTTTTAACTATTGTAGTTCAACATGGGGTTGAATTCTTGAATTGTGTACCTAATTATGGTCAAAATGCTTCCGATATTGAAAAAAGTACAACTCCAAAAATACTGTCAGTCAAGTATAGAATGATATTCGATGATACAAGGGTCCTCCACGGATTGCACACATCCTCATGTCCACTCAAACACATACATTTAAAAATATTCAGCGCCTCCAGGAAGCTGCAATAGATTTGTGCACAGTGGCTGCAATTATCCTTTAATTCTCTGTGACCATCACTTTCATATTGGTTAAAAGAAAAATTGTGGATGAGATATAAAATCCCAAACACAAACGATGCCGCAACACTAAGTTTTGTAATATCGATGGCACCAGGTAAATTATTAATATGTGGTTAGAGACCCTGAGGTCATGTGATTAATGAGATTTAAATCCTGGTGCTGGACTTGTCCCAATCATAGAAAATGTCTCACAATATAAGTACAGTAGTCCATAAACAAGGGTAATCCCCAATAGTCCACAGAAAAAAAAAAGAATGAAAAATATGAGAAAGCGCACATTTATTGGTATAAAAAATATATGGCATCAAACTGTCGTGGCAGCCCTCATAGTTGCTGATGTTTAAGCAGGCATAATATATCATACAGAGGACATATGTATCCAAACTAACATAGGTTTCCAGGCAAAAGAAACAAACTTTGCAAAAAATAGGTCTCTCTCTTGTCTGGCAGTAGCAAGTATTGCGACAATTTCTCATTCCTTCTATTAAATTGTCCAATTTTTTTTTGCAAAGTTTGCTTCTTTTGCCTGGAAACCTATGTTATTTTGGATACATCATGTCGTCTGTATGATATATTATACCTGCTTACACCTTCAGCACCTACGAGGGCTGCCATGACAGTTTGATGCCATATATTCATGTTTTTATACCAATAAATGTGCACTTTTTCATATTTTTCACTCATTTTTTTCTGTGGACTATTGGGGATTACCCTGGAATACGAATTCGTCCGAAAATTTACTAAAACGTAAACGAAAGCCCTACATAAAAAATATAAACGAAACAAAAGGGCAAATGCCAAATGCATTACCTTTTCGTTTCGTTCATTCAATAGACTCTGTGCTGCAGGGGAATTAGCCCCCACAGAATGGAGAACGTGGAGAAAATAACACTGCACATGGGTGAAAAACAAAACAAGGAGGGAGCCGGCAGCACAGCGCCCCACCTCCTTGTGACCCACGGGTGGGAGCTAAATGGGAGGACCTAATGTCACAGGTGTATACCCCTTAGGTCCCCACCCATTAGCAGCGGGTGGGAACCCTAATCAATTAAAGGGGGGACCCCTAAATAAATAAATAATGTGGGGACCTAATGTCCCCCCAGGTCCCCATCCATGATTGGCGGGTGGGAATTCAATGAAATAAAGGAGGGACCTAATGTCCCCCTTGGTCCCCATCCATGAGCATCGGGTGGGGACCCTAAATAAATAAATAATGGGGGGCAAAAAAAGAAAGAAACCAATCACAATGTTATGAGTCAAATTACACAGCATGGGAGAATTCCAAAGAATTCCACAAGCCAACCAATCAGAGTGCTTTGACAGGTAAATGTAGAGACTTCAGAGCACCCTGAGCCTAACTGTAGGGTGGGGGAAGGCTTTATAAGCGTTTCCCTACTCTGCAGAGCACATTCTGCGCTGTGCCCTCCATCAATGAAGAAGGATAATTTTTTTACCGTCATGATTTTTTTTCTTTTGGCGTTTACTTTTTTTCCACTCATGTTTTTTTTTGCGCTCAGTTGTCACAGGTATTATGGATTTTTATTTGGCCTTTTTGGGGGCTGAAGAAAGAAAAGAAAAGAAGAAAGAAGACATCTAATGGTAAGTATGAAATGTTATTAGGGTGAGGAGGTAGGTAGAATATTTTTATTGGGGGGGAGTGACTAGGGGCTTGGGGACCCCTAGTCACTTTATTATTTGTGGTTCCCACCCACCAGTCATGGGTAGGGATCTGGGGGGACATTAGGTCCCCCCATTATTTATTTATTTATTTAGGGTCCCCACCTGCCACTCATTAGGCCCCCTTTAACCCCTTAAGGATATATGACATGTGTGACATGTCATGATTCCCTTTTATTCCAGACACTTGGTCCTTAAGGGGTTAAAGGATCACTAAAGGGTCAGGAACACAAACATGTATTCCTGACCCTATAGTGTTAACACCACCATCTATCCCCCCTGGGCCCCTCATGCCTCCATAAATATAGCAAAATCTTACTGTATTCAAGCCAGAAGTTGTAACTCTGCATGCTGTTTGTCTCAGAAAAGCATGCAGTCTGCTGACATCATCAGAAGTGGTAGCCTGATCCAATCACAGTGCTGCCTCATAGGATTGGCTGAGACTGACAAAGAGGCAGATCAGGGGCAGAGCCAGCATGATTCAAACACAGCCCTGGCCAATCAGCATCTCTTTATAGAGATTAATTGAATCAACAAATCTCTATGAGGAAAGTTCAGTGTCTTCATGCAGAGGGAGGATATGCTGAAAGCTTTGATGCATTTTAGGCAGCCATGACCCAGGAAGGATCTCTAACAGCTATCTGAGGAGTGGCCAGTGACAGTGGCGTACACATGACCCATGGGGCCCCGGTGCGAAAATTGATCCGTGGGCCCCCCACCCCGCGCTTACTCGGCGCGGGTCGGGGCCTGCAACACATGGCGGCGGGCACCTGGTCGCAGGGCTTGCAGGGCTGCGACCGCGGTATGCACACACACTTAAAGGACCACTACAGACACCCAGATCACATCAGCTCAATAAAGTGGTCTGGGTGCCAGGTCCCTCTAGTTTTAACCCTGCAGCTGAAAACATAGCAGTTTCAGAGAACGTCTGTTCACTGAGTTAAATGCAGCCTTTGGTTGGTCTCATTAATTGCAGAGCTAGAGGAAATTCCATGATTCTCACTGTGAAAATCACGGTGAGATTGAACTGAACATCCGCGGGAAGTAAGTAATGCTTTCCTATGGGCGGTTTAAATGCGCGCGCCCTCTTGCCGCGCATGTGCATTAGGAGCTGAGAGGCGGAGGGATCCAGCCATGGGAGTCCGCTGGAGAAAGGTAAATGCTGAAGACACACACACACTCTCACAACAGACGCATTACACTCAGCTACACAGCACACATTTACTGACAGAGACACACTCAGCGACAGAACATACACACACTCACTTACAAAACAT